ACATTCACTATTCTTTCTTTTGATAACAACATTTCAATGGTAAGAATTCACTGGAAATGTTGAAGAATTTATAATACGTAAACAATACTAGGGAAAAAAAAAAGAACCATTAGCATTTGAATTAATTTCTTCTTTTTCTATGAGTTCTTCTGTTTATGGTGAAGTTCCTTCTCAAAGATTTTTTCTTTGCTTTGTAGAAAATAAAATGCACTGCCCTCCCTTGGTCCTCCATAAGGCTTCTAGTAAGACAAGAGGAAACTGGAAATAACATGGATAATTATTTCCTGTTGAAGTGAGACAGTTAAGTCATCAGAGGCTTTTTAGGTCTCTTTTTTCTTCTTCTACATTATCAGAGAGAAGAGACTAAAGCTTAAATGGACCTAGTATCTGGGTGTGCTTGACCACCATGATTTGATATAAAGCACAGTGTAACAATAGTGACAGTATCCTTCTTCATTAAGTAATTCTTTGTGGGAATCATTCAAAACCCCTTGGTGTGGGAGGAGATGCTGTGAACCTCAGCTATGGCACTTGGCCACTAAGGTCTTGTGAGAACTGTAAGCCACACAGAGGCAATGTAATGCATACAGAGATTTGATTACATTGCAGTTCTTACAAGTGTGGATTCCTGTGGAAATTGACACTACGCCACTCAAAAGTCATGGTTGCAGAATAGCTCCCTTAGTTTGTATTCTTTGAAGGAACAGAAATTTCAAGTGTTTAAGCACCATGGAACTGGCTGATTCATGGAATGGTGAATGTAAAACTTACTAGAGGACTAATATTCAGTCCCAAACAGATCAAATGTTATCCCTGAATCTGGGATATAAAAGGTTTAATCTGAATTAAATGAAGACAAATTCCTAAATAATGCCTGAGCTGCAATTGTTAAGTGGCTAGATTTTTAGGGCAATTTCAGCTGAACATCTTTTTTCAGTTCTTTTTTTCACTCTGGTTTTACTACTGTGATTAATATTCATTTCAATGTCTGAAACAAGCTTTCTTTTTCAGAATAAAACTTAAGACAAAATACTCTGAATTGACTATGTTTAGCTTTTTTTTTCCTTAGATTAGACAATAAATTTTACTGTAAACAAAAAGATTGTAATTGATATACCTATCTGTCTTTATTAACTGTTGTGTTCTATGTATAGTAGGAGAAGCATGGCTGCCATTGTTGTAGATTGGTAGCATTCAAGCCTGGTGAAAACAAAAGTTTTAGGAAATTAAGAGTTTCAGTCTGCACAGCAGTTACATATTAAGTATTAGTATCTCAGTTATTAGTTATTAGTATCTCAGTTACTTTTAATTAAAAGAAAATTCAGAGGTTTCAAATTCATTGGAAAGACCAAAGGAGCTATACAGAAAATCTCTTTGAGAAGAACCACTGATCTGAAGAAGAATAAAAATAAATCAAAAATCCTTTTCCATCATTTTTGCTTAGAACCCACACGACTTCAAAAACTAATTTATTTTAAAGTTTGTAAAAGAAAAGAAGTGTTGTTGGAATAAGGCTTCACTTATCAAGTTTCATTCTGGAAGGAATTTTTGTAGCTGGGTTAGAAACCCTCTACACTCCAGTGTTTATAATGGAAACACTGACCAATGAGATAATAAACACCAATCATGGGGCAGTAGTAGCTGGTCAGAACGTGGATGCAGGAGTTTGCGGTGCTATCAAAATATTTTGTTCTGGTTCCAGCATTAATTTGCTTAAAATTCCTTTCAGGTTGAGCAGAAAGCAAGCTCAGACTATAGATTGCAAAATCATTTGATTATTTATACTTCTCTTAGAAAGCTTGGAAATGCCTCTTAAACATGATTTCATCTAGACTTATTCCTTGGTTTACATGTCTGAATGCTAATTGTAACATGATAACTGAAAGGGAACGCAACTGTCTACCAAAAGGCAACCTTTGGTGGGCAAAAAGAATATAAACAAACCCATCTCGGAAGAGTATCTAAAAATGGGCTATGATCAAACTGCTTTGGGGCTTTAAAAAACCCCTTATTATCTTTTCCCAGAAGTAATTGACACTGTCAGTTTTTGTTCTTGATGTGGTGATAATGGCATGGTGCTTTGGGGAGCCCAAGGGATGCGACTAGCCCCAATGTTGATGGCAGTGGTGTTTCTGAGGGGAAGTCCTGGAAATACAGTGAGTGAAATCCTACCCTTACTGAAGTCAGCAATAGCTCTGCACTCACTGCATTAGGGCCAGGATTCCACTGGCTTCACAAACCCAATACGCTATTTTCTACCATGTGATTCCACAGACTATTGAGGCACCTACTTTGAAGTAAGATGACTCTGTTGAGAGAATGGACCCCACAGTCTTGTTGCTTCAATGAGGTGGGATCATGTGCTAGGAAAGAGGCTTCCTGCAGTGTTTCCAAAATGCATTTAAATTCTCAGCAAACTGTGCTTCCAGGACTGAAGGTTGGAGTAGATGACCTCAATGGTCTTTTCTAACCTAAATGATTCTATGATTCTATGATTTCAGTACACCTACATGGGAAGCAGATGGGTCTGCATGACTCCTCACTGCTATAATGAGCATAATGGTATGCTTCAGTTGTAGCAGAGTTTAATTCAGGAAAAATTACACCAAGACTCCCATTCTGTTAAATCTTTTCTCACTTTGGAAAGGCACAAAACAAAAAATGAAAGTCTATCAATTACCCAGCCCCTATAAATCAGTATGCAGCCAAGAGGCTCCTCTGAAGCCTGTCATTAACGCAAAATGCGTCTTTGTGCTGTGTGCTATTCTCTTCACTGGCCTGTAGTGTGAATACTCTTTTAAATTCAAACATTATTTTTAGAATTGGTGGCTCATATAAGAATGGTACCACTGTTCTTCATTATTGTATAAAGCATCTAGTAATCTTTTAGAAATAAGCATTCGTACTATGAGGTTCAGATTTTGACTTGTATTTAAAAATGAAATGTAACAATTTCTTTTTTTGCTTTTCTCTTGTTCTTAACATGAGTATGGAAAAGCTTGAACACATTCCAATGTTTTGTTATTAAACTAGGAAAAGAAAAACAGCAATTTTTGAATTATCTGTTACAGACTTGTTTACATTGTGAATCTTCTAATTTAAGGCTCCGTGTGCTACAGAGTTCTAATTTTATCCAGTGCATGAAAAAATATGGAAGGATATATAATCATGCTGAGGAAATTGTGGTTGTATGGAGATGGCAGAGAAATAGAGTTAAGAAGTGAACATTGAACTGTACATTTCATTATCCTAGAATAATTTGCCTTCATTTTTCTTTTTTCTTTTTTTCACTTGATGCAGCCATAGCAGTAAAATGTAACTGGGTTATGTGAACAGTCATTGAGTTTGGAATAGTGCTCATTCTTGTTTTATTTTCTCATTTTATTTTTAGAATTAAAAAAAAAAAAAAAAAGAAAGAAAGAAAGAAAAAAGCCTGATGAAGTGAAACACCTCTGCTTCTAGAGATGCTCCATCTGCATTTACCATCCAACTGCCTCTTGGAAAAAAAACATCCCTACAACCAGAAAACAGATGCAGCATATGGAGTCAGGGAGGTCAACAAAAACAAGTGGAAGAAGATCCGGAGAAGCAAGTTAGAAGAGAAAGAATACGTCATTATCAAAACAGGATATTGTGATGGTAATACTAAAGTGAATGGAAAGAAAAAGGTGAATCATCAGAAGAACTCACAAAAGCATGAGAAAAGAAATCAAAGAGCTATGAGGATGGGATGTAGATTCCTCTTTAGAATACAGAGTAAATCTCGATGTCTCTGGTATCACGACAATTTCATGCAGTAGAAGAAAAAGCTGTCTTGGAAGGCAACAGCCCACTGCCCTGCCTGGCCCAGCTGCTGCGCGCCTGCTGCGCACTGCCCCAAGCTGCTGATTGCTGATTGCAGGTGAGCAGCTGCAGGAGCAGGGAGGGATCCGGCTAGCCAGTCTGCCCCGGGAGGAGGGGCAACAGGGGAAGCAGGTGGTGCCCAGGATTTGGCGAAATAATGCTAAAAGACCGACCCCCACTCCAGGCCAGAGGAAGGAGAGCCACCAGCCCCCCCATGTAAGCCGTGGAGTTCCATTTTCTTCCCCATGCTCGGCTCACAGGTGGCCTGGGCTTCCCTCCTCTGCCTGCTCCGTCTTATCAGCATTCCCCCCCACCCCCCATTTTCTCTACTCACAGCAATGAAACTAGGAAAAAACAACCAAGCAACCAACCAAAAACATACCTAACCAACAGCAAGGGGGAAAGGCTCTGAGTAGCACCTCAAGATCAAAGCCCACACGCCTGAGGGTTTTCTCTCTCTTGCAGGTGGAAACAGCAACCCTATGGCCCCGCAGCTGCAGGGCTGTCCTGGTCCCAGTCCCGGTCTCCACCGTGCCCCGCTTGCATTACACCACAGCCGGGCCCTGCTCCGGCAGCCCCTGTCAGTGCTGCATTGGCCGCTCACAGGCAAGGGCAGAACTGGTCCTGGGAGAAAATGGTGGCTCCGTCTAGATGTTCCATTTAACTCTCCCTGTGACACACAGCTTGGACTTGTCAATATGTATTTCAGAGAAAAAGAGAGCATTCTTTTTATTAAAAAAGAAAACATTACAGCAGATTTTTTTTCCTAGCCCCTGGTGGGCAGCTAGGCTGGCAACAGAATCCCCTGGAAAGCCAATCCTCTGACAGCAGCACCTCTCCTGCCCTATCCGATCCATTCTGGAAGGCAACAAATTGCAAAATGCTAAAGCAAGCAGTCAAAGAAACAACAACAAAAATACCCAAGAATTTCTTTTTTTCTTTTTTCTTTTTTTTCTTTTTTCTTTTTTTCCCCCACTTCCTTTACAAAAGTGATATATATTAACAAATCTACACACATCGAACCTCTCTATCTCCCCTTTCCCTTCGTACCCCCTTGCTTTGAGTCCCACACCTGTACGGTCCTGGCTGTGGGGCGAGGAGCCTGTGTTTAAAGGTGGTGTCCAGCTCCAGCCCTGTTCCACCGGGTCTTGCTGCCCCTAGCTCGCCTCCTGCCTGCTGCAGCCGTTCAGGAGCTCGGTCATGAAGGAAATGTACACTATGGCGAGGCGCAAGGTCTCTATTCGGGAGAGTCGTTTCTCATAGGCGAAGGTGGGAACCTTCTTCCTCAGCTGGTCGAATGCCTCATTGAGGTTAAACATCCTTTTCCTCTCCCGGATGTTGGCTGCCTGGCGCTGGGCGTAGGTGATAACCCGCTTTCTCCTGGGTCTGTCCAGTAGGGAAGAGCTCCGCATCCTCTCCTCTTCCTCCTCTTCTTCCTCGTCTTCGAGATCCCCGTCTCCGAAGGCAGTCAAAGGCAGTCCCCGGGCCATCCCCTCCCGCAGCGATAGGGCTCTGTCCCCAAAGGGAGGCTCAGGAGTTAGCCCCAGGCTCGGCCCGGCCTGGGATGAGCTCTGGGGGGCTCCCAGTGAGATGTCGGCCACGAAGCCCAGCACTGAGGCGCTCAGCAGCCGCTCCGGGCAGGGGAGCGGCTGGGCTGTGCCATGGAGCAGATCCGGGCACCGGTGGGCCGGGAAGAGGCCGGCTGACATCTTACTTCGGAGAGGGCTTAATCGGGTCCCCCATCCCAAGCCTCGGCGGCGTTAATATTTATAACCCCTCAGATAACAGGATTAGCAGGACTAGAAAGAGCGGCTGTGAAATTTCCCTCCGTGATGCTGATGAGAGGAGACAGGCAGCCCCCTCAGGGACGCGTGGATGCTCACAAGAGAGGAGTCCCCGGAGAGGCAATCCTGTCACAGCGATCAAGGACAGTTCCTTCTTGGCAAAACCCTCGGCTCTTACCTGCTGAGCACTTTTGTCTCTTCTTATGCACCCGCAACCAAATGATTTTCAGGCTCTTTACAGCCCGCAGCAGCAGAGCTGAGTCTTCCCTGGGCTTGCCTTCCTGCTTTCCGTCGGGTTCTCTGAACCCTGAGAGCCAGCTGCACAATTGATGTCAGGCAAGTACGTGGATACTTTTAATGATGTCCTGAAGAGGGGACCTGCACGCAGAGGGTCACCGGGAAATGTTTACCCTGTATCCCAGCGCAGTGAGATCTGAATGGCAGGACCTCCATTAGCCTAAGTAAGCATTGTAGGGGACCCGAAATTGCATTCCCAGTAGTAACTGTTGGAATTGTCCTCTCCATTCCCCCTAAATCCCTTCGGCTAGAGTTCAAACATCTGGGCAGGGTGGCAGCAAAAGGCTGCTTCATAATGCTCATTTCAGGCTATTTCTAAGCATTGCTTTGAACTCCCTTCTTCCTGCCCAGCAGACAAGGATAAGGCGGTGCCATTCAGGGCAGCAGCTGCTTTCACCCGAAACCTCGGCAGAGCCAAAGTCAGTGGCAGTGCACGGAGGAATCGACCTGACTTTTGTAATGATAACGGTGGATACACTGAACAAAATGGCGTGAAATGCACATAAATGTACCCACACACACGACATCACTAAATACCTTTCTTTGATCGAAGTTGTCTTGGGGACGGACGTTGCGGATCGTTTTTGCTTTTCTCCTGGGAAGCTGGGAGAGGTGAGGGGTTTTGTCTTCACGTTCCCACACCTCATATGTCTCTAAATAACAGCGTAGACTTCGCGGTCCGGGACGGCCTTAGGCACACCCAGGTGGAATCGGATCGATTTGTTTTGGGCCGCGTGTCTGGGCGCTGCTGATGCCGTCATTCTCGTTCTGCCTTCTTAAGCCCTAATCTTCTTCTTTGTCATGCATTGTTGCCACTCGCTTTGGGGCTAATTAGTCCCTAATTTCCAAGGGGATTTCAAAACCCATCGGATGAAAGCAGACGGATGGTGGCGGCAGAAGGATCAAGCCCCGCAAAAATCCTTCCTGTTTGCCTACGGGACAGCAAACATTTCCGATGGCAGACTAGGATCCGCCGTCGTTTAGAAACCAAATATCCTTCCCCCCCTCCTCCTCAGCCCCCCTCCGCTTTTTTTTTTTTTCCCTCCTCTTTGTTAAGGCGATGCGGTGACGACTCCCCTCATCTCCCCCCCCCCAGCCCCGTGTGTGCAGCGGAGCGGAGCGGAGCGGAGTGGCGCGGCTACATTGGACAGCTCCGGAGCGGCTCCGGCCGCAGCGGCACAGGTAACGCGAGGCTGCGCCCGGCCCTCTGTGCTCCCGGGACCAGCGCGGGATTCTGCCTCTCGGTGTCACCGTCACCGTCACCGTTGTTACGGCCATTGATCAGAGGCGTGGTGCCTGCTGCAACGGTTTGGTGACATGCCTAGGAGTTAAGAGAGAAACAAGCAAGAGGGAGACGAAAGTAGTGGGTTCTCTTACAAAATCGAGCGCTATTCTTTAAGGATTCATTAAAAACCTGGTGAATGAGCTAATAAGCAAAAAGAAGCTGTAAGGCTTCTGACAGGACAAGTGTTTACTAGAGAGCATACAAAAGTAACAGAAATTTGATGGCGTTCCATGGGAAAAATGACAACAACAACAACATAAATATATATGATTGATCTGCAAAGGAATGTAACATATACAAGATAGTTTTAGTTGAGATAGTAAGTGTTTCCTTTAAAGATATGAGATGTAATGTAGGGACATACGCTCGCAGAATTGTGTGATCACAGAGAGCAAATGGATTTTGGAAGTACAAATGTTGCAGACAATTAAACAAGTAAAGGGAGAAATTTGAAATGGTCAGCTTTGTGTCAGTCTTCATGCAAATTTCTAAGTATGTGAAAAACTGTCTTCTACAGGGTGATAGTATAGCCCTTACCGTGGTCTCTTTGGAAAGAGACTCTTACAACATAAAAGACTTAAAAGGAATGTGCCTGCCTCTGGTTCCTTAAAAGTAGCACTAAAACAAAGATTAAGCAGTTGGAAGGTCATTAGTAGCACATGAGGATTTTAGCAAAAGTGAATCCTCATGTAAAACTTCTTTTGTTTTTTTCCTTTTTTCCCCTTACCTGTTTTCCCCCCCCCCTTCCCCCCTTTTTCCCCCATTGCTACTACTTTGTTTCCTGCTTTTCTCTCTCTCTCTCTCTTTTTTTTTTTTTTAATATTGATTTTCCTCTTGTGCAATGGTTGTAAAATGTGCATACTTAACTCAATGAACTATGGTTGAGATATGTTTTAGGGCAGTTTTTGTGGAGCTGAAGAAATACACGATGAATCTTTATGCTTTAGAAGTCATGTTTTCAGCACAAAGACAAAGCAGTAGTGTGAGGGAAGCAGTAACATGGGAGTAGCAGAAGAAACTCTCATGAGAACTTTTGCTTCTTCACTTTGAAATCTCAGATAGATTACCTGCTTAGACCAGTGCTCTAGATTTTTATTTTTAAACTAAGTACACAGTTTGGTCTAAGATTGTTTATCGGTCTTCAGACATCTTTCATCCTACCTTTTCCTTTCAGTTTTTATCACATTTTATTTTTTTCCCCTCCACAGATACTTACAGATACTGGGCACTGATAACTACATCTTCAAGTTTCTTAACTATTTACATAATTGTTTTTCTTCAGAAATGTCCAAGATATGATTTTATATGTATGCACATGTAGATTTTGGCATCAAAATACAATAAGTAGCTTGTCTCATCTATTAGCCCTTTTAGAAAAACATATATATATCCTTTTATACTTTATCCCTGATTATGTCCTAATTACAAAATTTTTTGAAAATCAGTCTTTTAGTAAGTCTTCCAAAATAATAACAATACATTATCTTCTGTAATAGCAGAAATGAAGACAGTGTGCATTTTAATTCAGTATACTTTTATGGAAATTGTTTTCTTTGTTTTAGCCTTGGGTGCTGAGTCCATGTGCTGATAACTTTCTACATTATCATGTGTGAAAAGGCAGCCACTCTGATGATTTAGCATTACTGATGAAGATGTTATAGATTTTAATAATATAGACCTATACTTTACTGGAAAATTCATTGGAAGTCAGTGCTGATCCTGGGATGACGAAATAAGGGGCTACTATCCATCCAACTTGTCTCAGCAGGCAAGAAATTGGAAGATACTATCTACTCTACAAATTACAGATTGCTAGATATACAACTGAAGAAGTGTCTATGTACACATCTTGTAATATGGAAAAAACATCTTCTCTACTTTAATTGATCCATTAATAGCCAGAAAATTACTATCATTGTCAAGAAGCATTCTGAATAATAGAAACAGACGTAGTGTACAGTAGGCTAACTCTCTCTTTTGACATACTGACATTGCAGCTACCTGATCCTGTTGTTAATTTCTAAAATTATAGTAATGCTCATGGATAAGGACCTCATTACCCCAGAACAAAGGACAGTTTCTGTCCTCTTTCGATCATCTTTTGCATTCCTACCAGGCTGGACAAAATCAGTGGCATATCTGGCTGGAGGTGGGCACATTTAAGAGGGTTTGGACAGACTTTGTAAAATATCTCAGCACGACACTTGCACATTGCATACTGGAGAGATCATCACTGAAGAATTAACACAGAAATTATGTATTTAAGCAAACCTAGCTGAAGACGGGCTACTTCAACGCTAGAATAATGTAGTAGTACCCAGATGAAAGCAGAGCACAATGTGATTGAATGTAATGGTAAATGGTAAAAGAGATCTCATGTCTCAATGTCTTATGAGATCACACAGGCAGGGAACTGTGATGCAGTTAATGTTCAGAGAATTTATGTATGAGTCAGTTGAGAAGTTGAAGAAGGCTAAAGCAAAGTATCAGATGAATTGGTCAGTTCTGTTCTTGCAAGTAAACTAGAAAGGAGAAGACTGCTGAATTCAAAATTAAAGCTAATATAGACTAGAGGAGGCAGGGCCTTTTTGGCTGAAACTATTGGGAAAACCTTTGATACAGTGGAATCAGGTAAGTCTGTGAAGCTGAGGAAAGGATTATCTCTCTTTGACTTCTGCAGGTCTCATGCTAAAAGGATTGACTTCATCTGTTAAGAAAAATAATATGGATACTACAAATGAGGTGATATTATCTAACTGTTGGTTCTTATCCAAATTTGAGCTATCCCAGATAGCCCATTACTAACTTGTAGCCCATTTTTTTTTTTTTTTGTGAAAGGATGCCTACACTAAAACTTATGTCTAAAGAATTGGCCCTCTTATCCAAGAACCTGAAATACCCTCTGCCTTGCTAGTCCTAGCTTTGATATTCTTCTGAGGATATGAGATTTCTTTATTTTCTAGTCCTGAATATCTCCTTAGCAATTTGTATAGAGTATCACATAGTATCTTGAGTGAATTCCATTTCATTTCCTGAATACACTGGAAGTTGTTAATGAAATGAATATTATTTTCTTACTATCTTGTTGCTCAGTGTTTCACCTTTGCTTGTTTTTTTTTTTGTTTTTTGTTTTTTAACCTGTGCTATTTAATTGTGATTTCAAGACAGGATTAATAATTTTACATAAGCTTTTCAAAGACCTTTTTCATGCAGTATCAGATGCCAAACAGATGAGACATGTAAATGTGAGCTAAATTGTTGCTATTTCAGTTTGAAGATGGGGAACAGAAATAGTGTGTTACTGCAAATAAGAACTCAAATGGGTCCCATTGTGAGATAGATA